TCTCTCCTTGTAGGAACACTTCTAGGGGCAATCAAATCCCGAAGAAGCATATCCTCTGGTTCCGCCGGATTGGAGCTGGAACTTTCACCAACATCACCCCTTGGCCTAAGGCTAACTTCCTTGGGTTCTTCATATGGTGACATAGTGCTAAAAAGATGAGAAAACGATTCAATGACATGATACTATAGTCCACTGTGGATAACTCAACACAAAATGATGTCGTACTAACTCTTAGCATGCAAAACTAAGCAAGAAACACTTTAGCATAATTATGTAAGCATAGAAACAAATAAGCAGTTAAGCATGCTTCTTCAAATAATAAACACGTAGCCAATAATCACATAACAATACAAACAACTCCCCCATGCAACTCCAAGTAGACCTCTATCCGTCGTCCTAATGGTTTTCAAACCATGGCTCTGATACCAAATTTGTAACGACCCAAATCTACTGGATCTGGATCATTAAACGGGTCATTGCCTAACCCTTGATCATCCAAGGGTAATACGGTCCTTTCACTTTACATTTGTGTTTTAAAGTTCAATAAGGGCAAGATAGTCATTTGTCACAATTCTAATGGTTTGAGACTCCAAGGGTATAATAGTCAGTTACTCATGTCACATAATAAATAAAATAAAAATCCGGGGTTATATAGTCTTTTCTCTTGTTAAAATATGATTATTGTATTTTAACTGGGTCATAAGGTAAATACTCACAACATCAATTAGGTGCCAAAGTGTAATTAGGGAAACTAAATGAAAAATGTATATGGGACAGGAACCGGTCAACGTGTATACATTACACGTCGACTGGTTAGGGTTATGTATAGTGGAAAACCCATTGCCAAGATACCAGTCGACGTATGGGAAATTCACATCGACTGGCTAGGGATGTACATAGTGAAAAACTCACTGTCAGGTTACCGGTCGACGTGTGGGAAGTTACACGTCGACTGGTTCACGCTACTCAGTCAACGTATGGGATTTTACGTCGACTGGTTGGGTTATCCTCACTCACTATCCGAATAAAATCAATATACATCAACTTTGGCAACCAATCACCCACACCACTACACTCATGTACATACTTAAATACATTTTAACATCTAATTACTATAACAACAACCACATTATTAACATAATTTATAACACGTTACATAAAATACAAGATTTAGTGTGATTAAAACTTAATTACATTTCCTCAATGGCTATACACAAAATGAGCCTAAATACTTTACATGCTACAAAATAATACATTTTAAGTCATCACGTTTACAAAATTAGGCCCAATTACAAAAGATAGCAAAAAGAAACATTTTTCTACTCTAAGCTACGGCAAGGGTGGATTGTCGTTCGCTATTTCTTTTCCGTATCCTGAAAAATGTTAAATAAAAAGGGATGAGCAATTGCTCAGTAGGTGGTGCCTAAGACACACCCTTTGTAACCCCATGAATCAAAACAATGAATAGGACAATAGGAATTAGGGTCATGCAAAGCCGGGTAAAAATACAATATCAATCTCAAGTTCAAAACAATTAAATGTCGTGCCATAAATGCAATGCCATGCATGTCACTTCCCATTTTCAGAAAAACATCAATCACTTCACAAACTGTTAATATAACCCACCCTTTGGTGACTCCGCAGCGACAAGAGAGAAGGATTGGCTACTATTCCTGACCTTTGGTACCCCCGCAGCGTTATTTTGGGCCCAGATAGCTCAACAACACTAGGGCAATCTCCCTAGTTCCCTCTAGGCTATATTAACACACCGGCCCTTTGGTGACTCCGCGGCCACTAAGTTTCTCAAAACCACTTTCATCAAATTTCTTCCCAAAATCCCCTTTTTTATTTTCATTCAAACACTTGCCCTTTTTATTCATACCCAATGTCATGGAATGCATGTCACATTTTCTCCAATAATATGAGCATAAAAGAAATTCACACTACACAATTTAACATGCTCTTTCATAGCAACAACTAGAAAGTTAGTAGACATCATAGGCATGTAAATTAACATCTAAGCATGCTTTTCACCTAAATTCATTGACACATATAGTCATAGATTTTCTAGCACAACAATCATGTTATTTTTAAGGAAATCAATTAAAGTAAAGCATGCGTTTCATATCAATTTATTTATTTCACATAATCATGTGTTTCATCCACACAATTCTAGTTACTTTAAAAGATAATCAACACAAATTAACATATTAGGACATAAACCAAGTAAAATCAACTCACTAAGGTGGAAGATTGTGTGGATTAGGGACCCCTACCTCAAGCTAGATGAAAAGCTCCAATTTATACCCTAGAATTTTCGAAATTGCAAGCCTAGCCAAATAAGAAATTGTTCACATCAGCGTGAAGTCCTCACCAAGCTCTTCGAATTGCCGCAAACGGATTCCAAAACTTCCAAGGATTGAAGGAGGAATCAAGATCTTAAGATTTATGGCCAAAAGAAAAAAAGAAAATTCAAGAAGGGGAAGTGAGAGAGAGTTACGGGAATGAGGAGGAAACGAGACCCAAATGGTCTCCTAAAAAGCTAAGGTGGGTCCCACCAACCAAATTTTATTTTCCTTTTCCTTTTCTTTATAATTCCTACCACATGCACACATAAAGACATATTTAATTTTAACACTTAAAACACAACAAAAAAGAATAAAAATGATGCAAAAGCACCCAATCAAAATACCCGTACGCAACAGTCCCGGTAACGGGTCCCACACGGAACAGTCCGGCCTGAAAAACTAAAAACTGCCGAAAATTGGAAACATCACATTATTGGATCCCATACGAAGTAGGTCCAATCAACAGTGCCTCACACAATCCATGGAAAAAACCATAAGGGCTCATAAGGACATTGGTTACTAAACCGCTCGACGAACCGGCATACAAGCTCAACTATTTTAGAAAATTTCAATTACAAATCTATTTTTGTTTTCTAATTTTATGATAAATTGATACTAATAATAAAATTAAGATAAATAGGATAATTAATATTTAAATAAGAGAAAAGATAATAAAATAATTTAATAAATGAAAATTCTAATGAGAAAAGGTAAAATAATCTTTTGTGATGAATTTGTCTTTAATTGCAACAAACTATGTAATATTTTAGGGGTCAATTTGTAGTTTAGGGGGTTATTTGCAAAATAACAATAATTTAAGATGATTTTTTGTACTTTATCCTTTATATTATAATTCTAAACTTTTATCAAATTTCTAATTATAACCCCACTATTTTTTTCTTTTACAAAACCCTCCTTTTTTGCCCTACCTACTTCTCTCTAAAATCGCCAGAATCATCTTTTCTAGCTTCCTCTCTAAACTTAACAATTTTGAGTTATCTGCCTTTAAAGCTCTCATCGAACCCATAATTTTATTTCTTTCTCTTTCTAATATTTTTTTTCTTTAAAATATATTTGATTCTTAACATATCTTATAAATGGTAGAGATGATATTTCAAATAAGGGATTTAGAGAGTAAAGAAGATTGTCCCTCTCTCTATTCTTTTCTCTCCTCTCTTGTTTTTCAATTTTGCATTACTTCAAATGTTAAATTTTTATCATTTTGTATACAAAAGTTAAAATAATTATATTTATTACGATTGTTTATAGAGTAATGATAGGAGAACCGAAAAGATATCCCCGAATTAACACCGAATTTGACGTGATTGGCTATACTTATAACGTGTTAAACAATTATTTTTAAAAAACTGTTTAAGTAGATGCGGTGGACAAAAACACGTCATATTCGGGACTTATTCGAGAAAATCATTCGGTGACCCTATCATTTTCCTTGTTTATATATAAATGGAGAGTTGAATTATGTAGATTCGGGACTTATTCGAGAAAATCATTCGGTGACCCTATCATTTTCCTTGTTTATATATAAATGGAGAGTTGAATTATGTTGATGCATGGACTTCCTTTGGCAACAAGTTAGAAACGTACAAGCTTAATTATTTCTTCTCTTCTTCTTCTTCTTCTTTTTTTTTTTTTTGAATGGTAAAACAAATACACACACACTTTTTTACCCACGCCGGGATTCGAACCCCACCCCTCTTCTTTGAAGATGAAAAGGTTATACCATTGGGCCATAGGCCCTTTTGGTTCTCTACTAATCCTTGCTCCTCATATTTTTATTTTTATTGCTTCTATAGAATTTTGCACTGCCATAGACACAAACTGGTTTTGCCATAGACACAAACTGGTTTTAGTCCTGTTCATTCTACCAACTGATGTGCTGGTATTTGGTGATGGACTCGAAGTCTCAAAGAATTGTACGAGGGAGATGATCTTCAACAACAACTATATGAAATGTTTAAAATCTTAATCTGATATTTATCTCTAACTAATTAAATCAAGCCTAACTCACCTTGAAATTTTAAATTCCAGTTAAAATTTCGAATTAAAAAGTAGAGTTACAAATATGATCAATCACCACACAAAATTTGATTTGATCTTGAATTAGTTTCATATTAAAAATTTTAAATACTCCTAGAAACAAACATTTTAAAATTTTAATGCAAATTTCTAAAAACGAAAAAAAATCTTAAAAATTTAATTCAATAAATTAAGATTTATTTATAAAAAAAAATAGAATCATTATTTAAGTATATTATAATAATATACTTAAAATAAACATAAAAATAATATTAGAATTTTAGTTCTGTACTTTAACCAAAACTCGACTTTAATTGAGTTTTAATTAATAATTTTCAATTGAGGTGCAACCCTAATGGTAAAAATTGTGTTGCCCAAGGTCATGTAATATATGGTATGAGTTGGCCCATCGCTTGCGGTCGTGGACCCAGTTACATGATGATGCTAGGGTTTGTAGCGTGGAAAGAGAGAGTGAGAACTCGTTAGCTTGTTGGTGAATCTGGGCGTAGGCTAATATGTGTGTTTATTTATTTATTTTTTTCTGATAAAGAAGGAGCCGTGAATTTAACTTACACGGTCTACAAATGAATGTGTTGTACTTTTTCTTGAATTCTGATGGAATTACAGTGCAGAAAAACCTGGATATTGAAAAGGAGAATTGGGAATAAATGTGAAATCTACAATACGCAGGATGTGCGAGAAGGAGACGCTTGGAGTGGTGAAAAAGGCAAAGAAGATGGAGTTTTGAAGCTAAAGACAGTGAAAATGGCGGCCTTTGCTGAGTGTTCATCTGCATTGGTGTGACAGATTCAGGCTTGGTAAATGTTACCTCCTATTTATTATGATCTTGTAATTTAATATGTGCTTCAAATAATACTCTTTTGCTTCTATTGTTTGTTTACTTGTTGATTCATAACATATAAATAAATATGAGTCGATCACATATTCTTGACTAAGTTTCAAAATCCTAACATAACATATAGTGACACCCCAGCATTGAATTAGTGTCTTGTAATTAAAGAAAATTTAGTTCAAATTCCAATTCCAATATGCCACCAAACATAGCTCGTCTCTATGAAAGTTGTATAATTAATTCCAATTTAAAAGGAGAAAGTAGTTATCACAATTGCTGTGATCATAGGGTCAGTAGCGATTGCAATTATCTGCATCAATCTTTCTTAGAGGTTGATGGCTAAACCAAGAAGTATATGCAAATTACAGTTAGCGCAAGAGAGAGAGAACAAGGTAATGCTCATCCATTGCTTTACGTTGTACCAACCCAATATATAGATATATATATTAATTTTTCTTTATTTACAGGGAAAACTGCCAAATGGACAAGAATGTAATTCTTCTCTGTTTACGTTATTGTTCCCAGCTATTCTTGCGCTTTTATTTCTTTGCTTGAGTTTAAAAGGAAAAAGAAATGAGAAAAAAATTTAAAATAAATAAATAAATAACACAGTAACATACTGCACATTCCCCTCCCCTAGATCCTCAACAGAAAATTTTACTAGGATTGTCAAAATTCTAGCTAGGACATGGACCTCTGAAGAATCTTTTAAATTTAAAAATTCAAAGCTGATATATTTGTATAATTAATGGATTAAGAAAGACGAGCTAAACCAACTACATCTAGATATATTATGCACCATTCTTCGAAAGAAAAAACTAAAAAAAGGGGAAACAATGAGTTTTCTGTTGTGGATCCCCCTTCAATCTATCCGGTGGTGGAGGACCCTTCATCGAGAAATTATTACTTGCAATTGTTATTGGTGCAATGGATGCACGAGAGTCGTTGGATCATCTCTGTAATGGATGGCCCCACCTGATCCAGCGGAGCCATGCATCTGTTGCACCAATAAGAGTTGCAACTAATAATTTCTCCCCTTCATCTCCCTATTTGGTTCAAACTTCAAAGTTCCAAAGTCTTCGGTGAATTCAACTGCCCAGCTTTCAGATTCTGGAAACCTTATCCTGCGAGACGAGTCCAATGGAAATATAATATGGGAGAGTTTTGATCACCCTTCTGATTCTATGTTGCAGGAGATGAAAATTAGTATCAACAGGTTTACAGATAAGGAGACTCAGCTGACCTCATGGAAAGGCCCTACAGATCCATCCACTAGAAAGTTCACTTCTGGCATCAATCCTCTGAATATTCCAGAAATTTATATATGGAATGGTAGTCATCCATACTGGCACAGTGGTCCATGGAATGGCCAATCTTTTATTGGCATACCTGCAATGGTTTCTGTATACAATAAAATAAATGAATTTGTAGATGATAAAAAAGGAAATGTAATTTTAAGTTTCAATTATTTAAATGAGTCTTCTCTGTCATACCATTCCTTGAGTTCTAATGGAACTCTTGTGAGGAGCAGAAGAGAAAAGGAAAGGAGATTTGGGAAAATACGTGCTCGGTACCAAAAACTGAATGTGATGTTTATGACAAGTGTGGTCCTTTTGGAAGCTGCAATGTGATGGGTTCACCAATTTGCACCTGTTTACAAGGGTTTGATCCAAAGGATATGGAGGAATGGAGTAGAGGAAATTGAACCAGTGGATGTGTAAGGAGGAGACAATTGCAGTGTGAGAGAAACAACACTGGTGGTGGAAAGGGTAAAGAAGACGGGTTTCTAAAGCTAAAGACAGTGGAAGTGTCGGCCTTGGCTGAGTTGGTTTTTGCTGCTGAAGACAACTGCAAAAGCCAGTGCTTGAATAATTGTTCTTGTATAGCATATGCGTAAAGTTACAAATATGATCAATCACCACACAATATATTGTAGTGGCATTAATGGTTGTATGCAGTGGTGTAGCAGATCTGTACATTCGTACCGCATATTCAAAACTTGGTAAGTTTTTTTCGTCGTCCTTAAAAAAATAAAATAACAATAATATGTGCTTCTAATAATACTCTATTGCTGCTTCTGTTTGTTTTACTTGTGAATTTGAACCATTGAATATACTACATGTTAGCCACCTGACATTTGTGCTCTAGTTTTAAGTACGCGTCAGTCTATTTTAATACCATAAGTATAATACTTTTTCCCATTTTCCCACAAAAGAAAGCCGTGGAAATTGTCTAAATTTTTATTAACTCAATCACAAATTTCCTTTTGTTTTATAGAGAAAAACAGAAGCAGAAAAGTAGTAATCGAAATTGCAGTGCTCATAGGGCTACAATCTAAGATACCCCTCGATTCTAGAGTCACGGGTGATCAAGTCCGAGCACAGAATACAAAGGATATCAAACAATTAATATTTAAACAAGCATTTGAAAACAAAAAGAATAATAAATAAATAAATAAATCATAAGCTGAAGGAAACTAAATAATAAATCCCTATTTTAAAATCCTTAAATAAATAATAATTAAAAATTCAATAATAAAATCCTTCAATCCTCGGACACTAGTAATTAATTGAACTACAACTCGGGAATCCATATTGTGGACTCCTAATAATATCCTAACTGAAATAACTGAATTGAAATAAAACTAATAATTAAACCATGAAGAAGAGTCCTACGTAGAGTCGGAAGAGTGAATGACTATCTCTGCTCAGCACGAACAATCTTTAAGACTGGAACTGACGAATACCTGAAAATAATGGTGGGTCAGGCCCACATACAAGTTCTAATCTTCTACATCCCAAACAGAGACTCGATACACGTACACATCCTAATTAATTCAACAATAACTAAATAGTTCATAAATAGATATACACACACTAAGGAACCTCACTAGACTATAGAGTTGTCTCAACCTGAATAGTAGGCAATATGCAAAACGCACATATAGTGGGCATGAGTACATAGACCTACCAGGGTACACAACTACACTATATCTAACTACACATCCCTGACAATATACGCACCTTAACCACTGATCCTGAGTCTCAAGCTCATATCATGGCGTATAATCATATATGTAAAATCCGTTATATCCAACCATTAAAATAAACAATATAATTATTATTTTAATAAAATGTCATCCAACTATTCCGTTGACCTGACACGAAAGACTTAACACTATGGTTAATCCGTTCCCTTATTAAAAATAGGTAGGACTTAACTTTTAAGTTAATCCGTCCCTAATATGCCCCTATTCCATAATGGTGCATTAATCCATATCATAATCAAATAAAAGTTTCCAACCCAAGGATAATATAACTAATGTTTACATATAATAATCCAAATAAACATGATATAAATCATATACACATCCTTTGCATTTACTTCAGCAAAAATATAAATTCTAAGTAGCATGCATTTAATTTACATCATAAGAAATTAACATGCATCTCAACTAAATTGTACATCTCCATTTCTGATTAAGTTAATTTAAATCTAAGCAATTGATTTAAAATAATTTAATCCAACAATATCTAATTAATTTATCCTTTTAAAATTAATTAAATTCCATACTTAGCATGTAAACTTAAATCATGTATTCTAATTCTTAATGAATCTATATAAATTAAATAAATATTTAATTCAAATCTATCATTCAAAAATAATAAATATTAATTTAATATTCCAGCATTAATCAAATCTAACATTTAAAATATTTAATGCATAACTAATTATTATTATTATTTTTATTTCTCCATGTACACATGACTCATTCCTACCCACTGTATATGCCTTAGGTAGGAATCCACAAAGACAATTAATACATGTATTATTATAATCTTAAAGCCTCGTTCGGCGGGCACCATTCACATAGACAATTAGCTTTGAATTCATACACACTTTATTCGTAAATATGATTCATGGAAAATATAGTTGTCTCGTTCGGCGTGCTTACACATATACATACAACATTCTAATTTCCCTTACAATAAACTGATTCATGTTTATGATAATACCTCGTTCGGCGTGCATTGAATAAAACACTCACAGATTTCGTACATGGGCATAAACTAATTTGGTTCATGCTAATTCTAAAAGTTATTCCTCATTCCACGCACATGAAAAATACAAATTTGATTCCATCTGATATATAAAACTGTTTTATGCAAAAAAAACCATAGTATATTACAACTCATGATTAAAACACATAATATAATATAACACATGAAACTTTAATTTATTAAAATATGAAAATTATCACAAACCTATTATTAAAACACATGAATTGAAATTTCCAAATAAATTCATATAATTAGATTCAATTAATTTATTTAAAACACCTAGAATTAATCTAGCATGCATAGGGTATGAATCAAATGAGAAGAGAAGAATTAAAACTTGCCTTTAGGGATTTGATAAAAACCCTAGCCTCTTTCTTCCTCTTTCTCTTCCTTCTTTATCTCTCTAAAATATATTTCGTGATTTATTTTCTAACCCCTTTTACTAACCTATAGCTATATATTTATAGGCTAAATAAAATAACCTAATCCTTTTTTTCAATCCAAGTCAAACTAATAATAAAATAAAATAAAATTTAAATACTAAAAAAAGTAATTAAAATATATTTTATGTACAGTCTATATGTAATCCTTTTTATATATAACATATAAATATACACATCAGATTATTACTAAAGAACTTTCCTTATATATATATATATATATATATATATATATATATATATATATTTATTTATTTATTATATATACATATCCAACCGTCCATGGATAAGTATCCATACCCATCAAATCCCTTATCCAAGTAGTCCATGGAGCCCAATTGGTTGGTCCATTACCACAATTCATATCCAAAAAATAAAAATAAAACAATTAAATTCCTAAACAAATACACATCATCACACACAATTTCATTTAAACAAATAAATCAATTAACACATTTAAACAAATAATTAAATCAATTAAACAAGTAAACAATTAGCCAAGAAATCAACTAAATAATTAAATGCAATTAAAATAATTTGAAAAAAAAAATATCGAGACTATCCTTTTAAAATCAGGGGTATTACATTCTTCCCCCCTAATAAAAGGAATTCCGTCCTCGGAATTCGCCTTTACCTTCTTCCATTATAGCTGAAAACTGTGAGCGAATGACATCCTGTGATACCCCTCGGATCCGAGACACGGGTTGATCAGGCCTAGGCCCAAACCCGAGGGAATATCAAATAATTAAAGTATTTTAAAGCGAACACAGATGACAAAATGAAACAAAAGTGATGGAATAAAACTGAAAGAAACATTAATTATAAAATCCTCCATGGACAACTGATGAAACTCCAATCCTCCAAAACTTCAAGGTTACAACTTGGGAATCCACTGATGGACCCCTAACCAAAAGTTCAACTGAAACTGAAAACTGAAAATAGATAATGCTAGAAATATCGAGAGAAATCCTACGTAATCAGATGAAGGTGAGACTGTCCTCGACAAGCACGATCAAGCTCTAAAGCTGGAACCGTCCTGTACCTGAAAAGAATAATAAAGGAGTGGGTCAGACTCACGAGCAAGTTCTAATCTAACTGCAATCCATACAGTGACCCGATACGCAGATACACCGTAGACACCTCACAATATCCATCTAGTCCATACATATAAATATATCCACACTAAGGGACATTCACTAGTCTATAATAGGGGTCTCAACCTGAATAGAAGGCAACATGCGAATACGCACCCAAAGGTGGGCATGAGTACCTAGACCTAACAGGGTACACCTCAACCTATTATAACCAGCTACGCATCCACTGCATATACGCACCCTAACCAACGAGTCTGAGACTCAAGCTCAACTCGTGGTACCATAACCATATATATAAAGTTCATCCAAATTCAGGGTATGCAGTTCAACTATTTATTAAACTGTCATACAATAAACCAACTAGTTAGTCATTCAACTTATTCAGTTGATATGACTTAACTACCATCCGTTAATCCAGGAAGTCATCCAACTTGTTTACAGCTGATCTGACTTAGTCACAATTAGGATTCGATATCTTTCAATCCATTCCATTAATCCATTAGGTTAGGTTTATGCGTTTTGAGCTAAACCGTCCCTAGTATGTCACCGTCCCATACCGGTACATACCATCCTCCATATCCATGTAAATTACAACATATATAACAGTTCAATAATTTACAGACCAAAAACTACCATCCAAACAATTACAGAAAAATATTTAAAGCTTCAGCAATTTAAATCCAAGCATTTAACCATATAGTTGCAGGAGACGATTTAACAAATCAACAACTAACCTCCAGAGCATGCATAAACCAAATTTAATATGTCAGGGACTCCATCATGCATGTGAATAGGTTAAATAATCCTATTATTAACCAATAAATTGCTAAAACAATTCAGAAGATTGTTTAAATATTTCAGCAGTTTAAATCCAAGCATTAACCATATAGTTGCAGAAAACAATTTAATAATTCAGCAACTAGCCTCCTAAGCATGCATAGATCAAAATTAATAATTAAATGACCTTATCATGCACTTGAATGCATTCTAAAACAAGTTTTATAAACGCATTATGTTCCATCAAATTGCTGAATTTTAATTCAACAATTAATTCTACTTCCATTTGTTAAGTGCCTTAATTTTTACACTGTTTGTCCCGACAACTTAGAATTAAACTTTACTCAATTTAGGGTCTTAATAACACTCAAAATTCATTCCTTGATCCCTCTGTAAAGTTCCAAATTCATTCAAACAGTCTCCATGCTCCAACAGTGAACATAGTATGTAGAAAATTAAAAAAAAAAAACCGTAAAATAAATCAAAACAACAAGGGAGCCTGCTCCAGAATTTGGAGCAGGCTCT